AAGTATTTTAGTAGCTTGATTTTCAAATAAAAATATTGGCGGCCACTTTTTGACTGACAACCTGTCATAAATGTATTTTCCTATTCATGAATGTATGTAAAAATTAGAGTTTGATTAACTACGCTATGAACGTAGTGATTTTGCGGCGGGATCCTGTACTAAAACAAAATCGGGAAATGAAAAACATATTCAAGGTATTGCGAATGAATATGATCAAATATATACCAACGAAACCCAAAAACTTTTCATAATTAGAAAAACCGAACCCAAAATATATTTAGGATAATATAAAATTACAGAAAAAATGGTGCACGATGGTACAACGCTAAAATTTTAAAAACAGATCGGGAATATGAATCATGTACAGTCAATCTCGGTCAAACAGTTATCTCTCCTGAGAAATTTTTGATATCCAGTGAATTTTTGTGAAATAATTTCGAAAAACAGACAGATGCAGTTCCCGAAACGTCTCCTAAAAGGAGTACATTTTCATTAAAAATTCATAATTTTGGTTTTGAAATATACAGGTATAATTTATAACGAGAATTATCACTGATAAGTTGAATAAATTTCCATGTCAATTTTATTCAAACAAAATAACGTTTCTGTTCAAATTCAGTTATTTACTCTTCAAATTTGATTTTTGTTATTTTTTCATTTTAGGGAAAGTAACGCTCGTAAATATCAATAATGAACAATCATAACCATATCAAAAATATTCACCATACCCTGTTGAAGCAAAACCACGAAGTGGAAAATAACATTCCACCATATATTCGATAGAATCAATTTTATTTCAAAAATTTATTATTTGTACAATCATTGTATTTGTAGTTATCTTTCTAATGCATATATTTTCAAACTTCTCTGAAACAACTCAACCAAGTCTAGGCAAAAGGAAACCAATTTACTCAATAAAATGGCCAGAAGGGTAGAGCTTAAGAGGATTCCCAAATACTCGTATATTTTTTGAATAAACAAATAAACATAAGCACCTTAACGAAATTATTCAGCGCGTGGGCTAGCCTATCGAAACATTTTAACTTTATTATGCAATCTATAATTTAAGTGAACATGTAGCAGTATTGTTCACCGAGAAGGTTTCAACATGGGATTATACAAATCAGTCAATTCTTCATTGGTGTTAGTACCCAACAAGGTGTTTACACAAGTCGAAAGTGAAAAACAAACTCAAGTATGCGTGAAAACTAGTCAAACTTTGTTACAAATACTCAAAGTACAAAAGAATAATAATCACATTGTAATTATTATACATATTGTAATAACAACACGAGGTTTGGTTAAATACAGCAATAGTATTTATTTTTCACATATAGTCAGTAGGCATACTTGAAGACTGGCCATAAATCAAGTCATCTAAAGGAACAATTTGTTCAGACCAGTCTCAACTCCCTACACTGTAGGTTAATGGACTGACACCTATCAGAAAACAACTACTCATCTGGCTAATACCTGTCGGATATAATCCAACGCTTTTCGTGGTATTAGCCAAGAGAGTAGTTGTTTTCTGATAGTTGAACCTAACATATAGTGTTATCGTAATAGAAATATAAAGTACATAATATATTACGTACCAAGTATTATAAGCAGAGTGCGATAATTCGCACTCGGCTGACGCACTACCTACGCTGTAGGTACTTTTAGAGAAATAAATGTTTCGAATTTTCATTTCCAAATATTTTCTCATCTCTGAACTGTTACTAAATTACCCTTGAAACCACCTTAGTCTTCTTTTCATCACCATCTGATGGTAATTTTCCGTATTTCCATTCATGTTATATTTAAGTCGAATCAGTTTCCTATTCCATTTATATTTAAACTTTGCCTACCATCCGGTAGATGGTAGCAGAATGAAAAATTGTATCGAACTATTTCTTTTGAGATAACTAAGATGAAAATTTCATTTATGAATATACTGAGCCGTTATTTGATGAAAATTAATAACACTATCCATGATAATAATCAAATACAATAGCGTAACTTCGTCTGTAGTACTACCGATGAAGGCACGGTGTTAACGATTCGCGTCTTAAATTAAAAAATGTTTGAAAATTGCTTAAATATTATCATGGAGAGAAAATTTTAGTAGTGCATTTTATCACGTTTGCAAATCTGGAGTTCTAATCCTATATACAATGAGTTCCAACTGGATTTTTTTAATTTATGGTTTTCCAGAACACTATATTTCATACAATAGTTTCAGCAGCATCATGAAAGTATGCTCTCAACTATTATTTTTGAATTATAAAATCGAAGCCTCGTAAGATTGAAATGTTTATTTTTTTGTGAGTTTCTGATTCTTCAACTGGTTACTGTTTCTTGGTCTTTCGACAATCAGTCAACTTCTTCTTTGTTTTTGTTGTATACATTGTTCTATTTTTCCTAGGTATCTTGCATCTCCAGTGGCTGTTACTCGATTCAACCCTTTGAATATGTGAAAGGATGATTCAATATTCAGGTGTTACTTGCTCGAAAATTTCTTAACTTTCAGATTTTTTCAGTAAGTGTTTTCTCAATATTTTTCTACTTCAACTAAGGAAGACGCCAACTTGGTTGGTAAAACATGCGTCAAAAATAGTCCTGCATTTCTGGTGATTGGGAATAGTGCGTGTTCTGTATTTTTTCTATGCTGGAGGTTTCTGTTCTACATTTCCTTACAAATGATATTTCTTTAATGATTTTGGGATTCATTTCATAAATCAGATTTTCAGAACATAGATTGCTCAGTTACCTCATCATCAAGTATCCATCCAAAAATTCATAAAAATTCCAACATCAATTTTGTTTTCAAATAACATAACCTAAATTTGAGTGTGAATAGTGAATTTTCAGGCACTACACCCAACTGTTATTACCAGAACGTGGGAGGACTAAACAAGAAAACTAGTGACTTCTTTAACGCAGTAAGTTCTAAAGAATTAGATTTTATATGTTGTAGTAAAACTTGGCTTTCCAGTAATGTATTCGATGCAGAGCTTTTCCCGAACAATCACAATATCCTCAGATGAGACAGAAATTTCAGCAGAACAAACACAACTAGAGGAGGAGGGATTATTCTTGCTCTTCAAAATTATTGAAAATTCAAACCCATAGACTTGACGTATTTGATCTCCACGACACTTTTTATAGATAAAGTTGGTTGCAAATTTGAAATTTCATTTATTAATAACATTCCACCATTTGTGTCTGTAGAAGAGTTCGAAGAGTTTTTCAATAATTTCATGTTGCTTGACTACCTCCATGATAATAATGTTTTGCTTGTTGGAGATTTTATTACTCCTTTTTTGAACACAAATGCGAGCGACATTAAAGAAAAAATTCTAAAATTCATGGAAATTGCCGAGCTACAATAAATAATATAACAATATAAATAATACCAACAACCGTACTTTAGATCTTGTTCTATCAACAATCACTTGTGATATAAAAAGGGACATGAAAAAACTGGTAAAGGAGGATACGCATTACCTTCTTTGTTATTCGAAATCAGAACCTCGCGTAATCATTTCAAAAATTCTTCAAAAACCAATGACATCTCAAAAAATTACAACTTCAGAAAGGCAAATTTCCCTCTGATGTACCCATGTATCATTTCTGATATAGATTGGTCTCATATTTCAGAAGAAGCAAATGTTAATGACACATGATATCATCTAAACAGTACGCTCTATAGTGTTTTGGATCTAATGGTACCCCTGAAAATTAATCCTACCCGTAGATACCCGCCCTGGTTCACACCAAATATAATTAAAAACATTAAACATCCTTTCATCAGTAGCAATTCATCGCGTTAAGAAGTGAAGTAAGAGAACAAATAAAGCTTATAAAAACTTCCTTAACGAAAGTGAACGCAAAATTAACGAAGACCGAAGTGCCTTTTGAAATTTCATGCAGAACAAAAAAGGTAACTCGATAATTCCCGAAGTTATGAGGGATGAAACTGAAACTTACACCAAACCGCAGGAAATTATGGATGCATTTGCAAACTTTTCCAAAAGTGTTTATATTATATCTGATGTCTCTTCATGTAATACACTTGATAACTGCACAAATAATTTACCAACAATAAGTATCGATCAGGTGAATGAAGTAGATGTTATCGAATCTGCGGAAACTGAAAAATAAACTAATTGTCGGATCTGACCATATACCGAGTTTCATAGTTAAACATTTATCTATCTTTTACTAAGCCCTCTACATCATATATTCAATCTTTCTTTGAAAACTTGTGAGTTCTCTAACCTTTGGAAAAAAGCTCGAGCTGTGGAGCTCGAGCAATTTCTTCAAATTATTCGAAAAAAAATCTGTTTAAAATCTGTTTTTCCGTTAATCAGCTGTCGCCCCCATACGAACGACAACTCTCAGAAGTTGAGAAGAAGAAATAATATGATACTCCAATATTTACAGTCCAATACAGAATATCATATCAGATGATCAATATGGATTTGTAGAAAGCAACTCTTTCATAACCAATCTTGTATGTCTTTCACAATGTATCTCTGAAGCTTTGGATAGAAAAATTGGAGCGCCAATTAGTTTATATTGTTGTTTTATAATTTCATGATATGTATTCTCACATACCTACATCAAATTTAAGCTGTCCGAAGAAAGTCTTTGAAATTCTTGTCTTTTCACACTACAGGTACTGTAATGTTTCGTCCTGTATATGTTGTTTTAGATTATTGTATGTCAAGTAGACTGTGAGTTGTCACTTTGCGGATTTAACTGAGAGATTGTTTGAAATAAACAAAGATTGAAAATTACTTCTACAATTTAAATTAATATTCCAATGCGAATATTACATTTGGCGACGAGAATAACAACCCACGTCAGTAATGGAAAACATCAATTTGAATTTTGCATCATTTGATATTAAATCCGATATAATCAATATTGGAACCAGATGAAAAAGATGGATCAATCGTTTTGAGATATATCTTCAGGCAATGAACATTACCAAAGAATCACGAAAAACAGCTATGTCACTGCATCACATTGGAGATGATGCATATGATTTGTATACATCCTTACCAGATCCAGCATCTTCATCTTCCGATAATGAGTATGACAAAGCAAAATTGAAATTATCCAATTACTTCAAACCCAAAATCAATGTTGAGTTTGAAATATATAACTTCAGACAAGCTAAACAGTTACATGGAGAAACCTTGGATCAATACTACGCTCGCTTGCTGAAATTATTCAAGAACTGTAACTTTGATGACCATAAGAAAGAAATCAAGTCTCAAATCATTCTCAGTACTAACTCCACCCGGATTAGGCGAATTGCATTATCTGAACAATTAACACTAGAAGAGCTTTTAGCAAAAGGCAAAACATTTGAAACTACCGATCATCAACTTATGGCTATTGAACAGAAAGAAACAGTAAATTTTTCAAAAACCAGCAAAGAAAGCAGGAAGGATAGAAAAGATAATGGCTATTTCAAGCACAATAAACAAGAAAAGTCAAAATGTCAAACTAGAAATTTTGAATCTGTCAAAGAAAATAAAACGGAAAAAATTTGCAGAAATTGTGGCAATAACTGGCATAATCAAGATCCCAAGTTGACATGCCCAGCAAGAAATGCACAATGTAGAGGATGCGGGAAAAAAGGACATTTTCAAAAACTTTGCATTACTACTGGAATGATGAAAATTCCTTCCAAACAGCAAACAAGGGCTATAATGAATAATCAACCAGAAATTGAACTTTTGAAAGATAATGAATCATCGTCAGAAGAAGCATTCCGAATAATTTAAACAGCAAATACAGTTTCGATTAGGTCTATCAAAGTTCAAATTCTATTAAATGGTGAAAGAACGGAATTTGAAAATAAAAATAATAAGACATTTCGAACTGAAATTTTCATCATAAAAGGTAGAAGTGAGTCATTACTGAGTTGCGAAGCTGCTATGAATCTAAACATTCTACAATTGATTAGAAGCACAAATTGTTACACAATCGAAAGTTTCGAAGAGAAATTTCCCGCCGTGTTTCAAGAAGTAGGAAAGTTGAAGAACTTCCAAGTGAATCTTCATATCGATAAATCTGTTCAACCAGTAGCACAAAAACATCGAAGAATACCATTTCTTGTGAAGGAAAAAGTAAAAGCTGAACTGCCATTGGACCAACTCCATGGGTATCACCTATTGTTATCGTTCCTAAACCAAGTAAAGATACCATTAGAATATGTGTGGATATGCGAGCTCCCAATCAAGCCATCAAACGAGAACGTCACTTCACACCAACAATCGATGATATTATATTGGCTCTCAATGGTGCTGCTGTATTTAGCAAAATAGACCTCAATGATGGATATCATCAGTTTGAACTTGAATGCATATTTTGATATTCACAAAGAAATTCACTTGTACGTCGACGCTGGTCCTTGTGGAGTAGGAGCTATCATCGCACAAGGAGATAATGAAAATCCTGAAATTGTTACATACGCCAGCAGATCACTATCTCAAACAGAGGAGCGATATAGTCAGATTGAGAAGGAAATGGTTGCCATAACTTGGGCAATCGAACATTTCCACATTTACATATATGGTAGTATATTCATTCTCTATACCGATCATTTACCTCTTGTCAGCATACTTCAGAATCGTCGATCAGTATTCTCAGCCCGAATAGAAAGATTGTGCTTTAGGATTCAGCAATACCAGTTCAGAGTGAAACATCAAAAAGGTATGAATAATCCGTCTGATTACATGTCTAGACATCCATTACCAGTAGAACATACTACATCTGAACCTGCAGAGTAAATAAACTTCATCCTTCAAAACTCACTTCCAAAGGCGATTTCTCTTGAAGAAGTAATAAAATATTCAAAAAGAGACCAAGAATTCCAACATATATTTGAGCCTTTGAAGACCACTGATGAGAATTTGTGGAATACCAGTGTTTTAAAACCACACAAAAAAGTTAGATATGAGTTGACTTCTGCAAATGGAACAATTCTGAGGAACACAAAATTGGTCATTCCAGAAAGTCTTCGTAAACAGGTTATCCAGCTAGCTCATAAAGGTCATTTGGGAATAGTAAAGACGGAACAACTTCTCAGAAGCAAAGTTTGGTTTCCTGGAATGGATAAATCAGTAGAAAATGAAATAGTCCTGTCTGTTGTGTCAAGCAGCAACATCCACTAAAAGTAGAGATCCAATTCAGGTAACAGCTTTACCTACAGGTCCATGGAGAAATTTAACCATGGATTTTGCTGGACCCTATCCTAATGGTAAATACATCATGGTTGTAGTTGACGAATATTCAAGGTACCCTGTTTGTTATGAAATACCAAGAGTGGACTCTAAAACTGTGATTGATAAACTATTTTCTTTGTTCTCCCTATTTGGAATTCCCAATCAAATGAAAACGGACAATGGACCACCTTTCAATGGGCAAGAATTTGGTGATGTTGTTGATCATTTCAAATTCAAACATCATAAAGTAAACTCTTTATGGCCTGAAGCAAATAGACTTGCTGAAAGAACAGTCAGAAATATCAAGAAAACAATTTTGTGTGCAGTGATGAGCGGACGAAATATTAAAGATGAATTAGAATTATTTTTAATGAATTATAGAGCTACTCCACATTCCACTAAAGAAAAATCTCCGTTTGAACTACTTTTCAACCGATCCTTGCATACGACTATTCCTGAAATTACCAATCAAGATGTAGATGGAAATTTGAAAATTATTGATGAGAAAAATAAAATGAAATTCAAAAAGTATGCAGATGAAAGATTACATACTAAAAATCATGAATTAAATGTTGGAGATTCAGTAATTTGCAAACAAAAACATGTAAATAAATTTACCCCACCATATGATCCCAATCCATATATTGTTGAGAAAATTAGTGGTACAAAGGTAACTGCGTCAAGGCTAAATAAAAAGATAACAAGAAATGCTTCTCACTTCAAAAAGATTGTAAAATCTGATCACATGAATCCTGTATTAGATGTTATATCTGAATACGATGAAGATTTTCATGATTATAGGAAATCAGATGAAGAAATAGAGTCAGAAGAAGATACACCAATTCAAGAAATTGTTGAAGCCGAAGTTCATGAACCTCGCAATTTGGTTTCCGAGAAGGCTTTTCCACAGAACAGGCTATATTCCAATTGGTGAAAGACGCCTTGGCTAATCTTAATGATAATAATAAGTGCCTAACAATATTTCTAGACCTGGCCAAGGCATTCGACACCGTGGATTACAAAATATTATTACATAGATTGGAAAGATCGGGGATAAGAGGCACAGTACTTAACTTATTTGAAAATTATCTCCAGGATAGAACTCAGAGAGTGAAAATCAAAAACTGTTATAGCAACCCCCTTCCAATCACCATAGGCGTACCGCAAGGAACAGTAATGGGGCCCATACTCTTCCTAATCTATATTAACAATATTGGAGTACTGAGAAACACCGAAAGCTCAGTAATCTCATATGCTGATGACACAGCGATCATGTTTTTTGGAGATTCTTGGACAAAAGTGTACGAACAAGCTGAACGAGAGTTAAGTATTTATTTCGATTACATTGACGGTAGTCTTTTAACCATAAATACTGATAAAACAAAATGTATCACATTCAGTGCTGATATTAAAGACCAACCAGAGTTTGAGGGAATCACAGTAAAAAAAGGAACTTGTGACCATATACACTGTACATGTCGAACTATAAAATAAATTGATAAAATCAAATACCTGGGTGTAATCTTAGACCAACACCTTCGATGGTCTAAGCATGTATCATATACAATTCTGAGACTTCGCAAACTTATACGTAAATTTTATCAGCTGAGAGATATTTTAAGCAGGAGAACCATTAGGATGGTTTGTAATGCACTAGCAGAGTCCATTATACGTTACTGTGTCATTATTTGGGGGGGTATGTACAAAACAGCCTTATGTGATCTAGAAACTACTCAAAACACAATAATAAAGATTATACTTAAAAAATCAAAACTATTTTCCACAAATGAATTATATCGTGAAGCTAACTTACTGAATCTTAAACAAATTTATATATACCAATGTATACCAATGTATACCTGTTTTCTCGTAGGACATTGTTTCATTTGAACGAAAAACACACTAATCTATCACGTGATACCTTTTTCCTACGGTTACTAATGAAAAAAATGGTCTTGTGGTATTGACAACTTTGGAGTGTCGGACCAGAAAAACATACCACGCAATTTGTAGGACAATGTGGGTGTTAAATTATATAAATATCAACTAACTGACCAAATAAAATTCAGCTGGTTAGTAATTATATTTCATGTCTTTGTAAATAGTACCTACATGTTGCAAAGGGGGGACCTCTTTGATCAAATCGAGCATTTTGTAGAACAAATATTTTTTCGGCTAATTCAAATAATCATTTTCAGAATTATATGAAAAAAAAAACAGTTAGTAATGAATTTTTGACAACCGCCAAATCAACAAATTACGTTCTCATTACCCATGTTAGCTACCATTTACGAAATTTTTGGACTGGCAAATATTGGGCGTCTCGTCAAAATGAAGCTACTCACGGACTATATCTATGATACTGAGGTGTACAATGCTGATATTGGTAAACACATTTACCAGTAATTCCAGGAAATCCGGTAAAAACAATTTGGAAATTTATTTTTTAAAGAAATGTAGATAAAACGCGTAAAACCTATTTATTGTTATTGAAATCTACAACGACATCATCTAGTATAAATAACAACTTTCCAATCATCATAATCAGTAGAGAATTAAAAACGAAACCATATTGTCATAACAGAGTGATTTTCATTATCAAAATATGAAGGCTTTAATGTATCTTTTTATCATTGTGGTCTTTATATCGTTTATATATGGTCAGATTGTTCAAGATCCGATATCAGATATGAGAGGTAAGTAGTCTTTTATGGTTTCCATTGGCATATCACCCTCACAACTGAGTGTGTTGACCAATATGTTCTTTGTCCAGTTATTTTAGGTCGATTTAGGCCTGTATTTCGGAAAGTTGACATGCCCATGCAGCTGTAAATTTGTATAAACTTTGTATTTTGGCATCATACAAGTATTCTCAAAATTCACATATGATTCGACGGCCGCAACTTCAAAAATTGGGGGTCAAAAGTAATTTTATAGTCACAGTGAATCTCGGAGCACCAGTAAATTCAATGTGTTATACTTTTAATTTAGTATGTATATAACATGTGTAATATTAATGGAAACTCTTTGAACTTTATCAAGGATTGTATCTTACATAGCCCACTGACTAATAAGAAAGTTTTTCTTCCTTATTCAGAGGAATTGGGCAAATTTCGGATATGCAGTTGCTTAGTACCTCGTCCACTAGATGGAGTGACATTTTGTTGTTCGCTCCAACTTAGGAAGAGGAATGAAATACTCATTTTTATCATATTCTCCTCCTTTTTTTAATGGATTTCATCCCACTGTTATTTTTTTTTATTTCATAAATTATTGACCCTGGTCTATTATTTTTTGAATTATTGTTCTTGAAAATGGATACCCATTGCAACAGCTACAATATACATAATTGTTTTTTTTAGGTGTTATGGCTCCAGTCCCCCTACCTAAACAATTCAACACAAACTCTGTTGCAGCTTCCTGTTACTGTAACAGCTGTCAAAGTCTTTGTCTCACTTATTCATACATAGCTGGATATTGTTATT